CCCCCCCCCATCCCCCATGACTTAGACTTTAAGACATTCTATAGACACTCTACCCGACCCTCCAACTCCATCCGTAACAAAACACCGACCAAGGGGGACCTATACCAACCCACACCCCACGCGCGATACCGCAAGATCTCGCCGTGCGAAGCCTTTTGCCCGGCCTGTTGCGCTGGAGAGGTGGGCGATGGCTTGTCCGTGGGCACCGGTAGCTCGGTCGGGGACTTCTCCTGATCGATGAGATCGGTGGTGACCACAAGGGCCAGTTTTGAGGGTTGTGAGTAGACGGTGGGTTTCAAGCCCCCATAAGGAAGAGGCTTTACAATCCGAAATACAACCAAATGGAATAGAGTCGGCCCCTCAAGAGATCTAAACCTGTCATCAATGAGACATTGGGCCTTTCCATGTGTTTGCCTCTTCAACTAACTACAGTCAATCAAGTTCTGTCTTCAGATATATTCAAGCACTCTTCAATTTCACCTTTGCAAACCTTGATTGAACAGGCAGTAGATGCATCACCCCCTTCCCCGCTGTTTGTTGTCTACTAGTGGCTTCTGAATTTCCCAGCAGGCTTTGTAGGGCCCCAGACTTTCTATGCCAAACCCAGGGATCCCTGCCGTGTGGTTTAGAGAAAGGGTCAAGGCAAGAAGAAAAGGGAAGAAAGACCAAACCAGGTTGGCCATGCGAGTCACGCAAGTTCTGTGATCACATTAGTTGGTCTTGCGAGTCACCAAAGTCACCTACAGTCGTCGGGCCCACTCTAGGCCCAAGGATCTGCAGAATCATTGGTTGCAGCCATAAAGGTGTCATGTCAAGTTCGTTGAACAACCGCCCAACGGATACAGTACATATGTGCGGCATTTATTTGGTACTAAACTCAACACACTAATCTATTATGTGGGGGCCCTATCTCGTTTAGACTACTTAAGTAGGAGGTCACGTCACAGTATCTCGTTCAGACTACATTTAGTAGCAGATCACACTATCTCGTTCAGGCTACTTTATAGTGTCATCAAGCAAAAGTATCTCGTTTATATGGGGGCCCTATCTCGTTCACCAGCGAATACTGATGATAGACAAGCAAACAGAGCCGTAGACTACTTTAGTAAAGCCTAAATAAAAGTGGCTGCTCATGTCTGCAATAATTATCAACTCAATACACTCCCAATCACACGTGTCACCCGAACCTCAAAACTCCAAAGGCTTGGGGCAAGCGCTTGCTCGGAGTAGAAGATTGGATGGCTTTGCGATGGTCAAAATGGTGCCATCCATAAGTCATTGTGATCCGAAACACTCCCTGTAGGCAAATATAAGAACATACTTTGAATATGAGCAACAACTCTTGGATGACTTTGAAAGGAGCATTGTCTTTAACTTCGGGGAATGGCTTTGGAGCCTCTTCAGCGACGTCATCACACCGCGCTGCTGATATTCTGTGCCACTGTGCCTTCGGCTTCGCTGCCTGTTTTGCCGTCGGCACCTTGACGGGCTATGTCTGACGGGGTTGACACTTCGGGAAAATAACAACACCAACCATCCAAAAAACTGCTTGCACTTGGAATATCCCACAGGAAATGCTACAGTGCAGCGTTTCTGGAGCTTGCCGCCACTGCAGACCTTGATGTCTTAAACTTGCCTTTGATTGGCCAAAGTTTTCATCTATGAGTAGTTCGACCCCTGACAGATGAGGCATGATGAGGCCAAGGTGAATCACCCTTGAGAACACCACTTTCGGACATCGCGCACCTACATTTAACCTGTCTCTGTGTACAGCGATCAGGGATGATCAGGGCAGGTGCAAAACCGGCCAGCCTTAAGTAGATCAAGTGCCTGAGGCAAAAACAAAAGATCAACTCATTGGGTCTATTATTGTGTTTACTTTTTGTCCACCCCAGTGGGAGCCGTCACCCCATGATGCCCTCAACTGTCATCCACGGCCTCCACCTCGCGTGTGGGCACAGTCTCTTGAGCGGTCCTGGCCTGGCGCGGTTTCATTGGAGCAGTGGATCCTACAGAAACCCTGCTACACTTCCTACACACTTCTGCTTCAGTAATGATAGTGGCCCATCCCCGAAACAAAGCAACCAAGGGACCAATCAACAAGAACAATACGAACCAGCAATCCAAACAATTACGAACAAACCCACACGTATAAAAAAAATGCTTAGGCTTAGTATAGACTTTAAAACATTCTATAGACACTCTACCCGACCCTCCAACTCCATCCGTAACAAAACACCGACCAAGGGGGACCTATACCAACCCACACCCCACGCGCGATACCGCAAGATCTCGCCGTGCGAAGCCTTTGCCCGGCCTGTTGCGCTGGAGAGGTGGGCGATGGCTTGTCCGTGGGCACCGGTAGCTCGGTCGGGGACTTCTCCTGATCGATGAGATCGGTGGTGACCACAAGGGCCAGTTTTGCCCCATAAGGAAGAGGCTTTACAATCCGAAATACAACCAAAAGGAATAGAGTCGACCCCCAAAGAGATCTAAACCTGTCATAAATGAAACATTGGGCCTTTCCATGTGTTTGGCTCTTCAACTAACTACAGTCAATCAAGTTCTGTCTTCAGATAGATTCAAGCACTCTTCAATTTCACCTTTGCAAACCTTGATTGAACAGGCAGTAGATGCATCACCCCTTTCCCCGCCTGTGGTCGCCAGTAGCTTGGTGGTGCATAAGGTGCATAAGGTGCCGGTGGTGGTGGCGGTGGTGGAGGCGGCGGCGGCGGTGGCGGTCCGCGCCCACCCCAGCGTCCACCCCAGCTCCCACTCCAGCGACCGCCGCCTTTGCCCTGGTAACGACGTGCCCGCGCCACCGGTGGTGGACCATAGGGCTCGTACCGCCCGCGGCTTCGGGCTTCCACTGGTGCACCCGGTTCGAACGGCAGGCGCGGCTCCACTGGTGGGCCCGGCTCAAAGGGCAGGCGCGGCTCCGCTGGTGGGCCCGGCTCAAAGGGCAGGCGCGGCTCCGCTGGTGGGCCCGGCTCCACTGGGGGTGCCTGGGTTGGTGAGGATGGACATGGGAGGTGCCACAAATGAAAAGAAGTGGGAGACAAATGAAAAGAAGTGGGAGACAAATGAAAGGAAGTGGGAGACAAGCCAGCCGGGAACCCGACCACAAGCACCCAGCCTGGGAGACAAATGAAAAGAACTGGGAGACAAGTGAAAAGAAGTGGGAGACAAATGAAAAGAATTGGGAGACAAATGAAAGGAAGTAGGAGACAAGCCGGCCAGGAACCCGCCCAGACCATCCAGCACCAAGGTGACCATTCTTTAAAGCATTGAGAACCCCCAACAGTAAACTGTTTGGGAAAAACAAATCTTTTTTTGAGTGATATTAAAATTCTTATCCCAGTGGCTTCGCTGGTATGTTCCTCCTCGTTCCGCCTCCAAAAATGGCCCATGGGTCCCCCCACCATGACTTCCGGTGATGGTGGAGCCTTGGCGTGATCGAAGAGTAAAGTTCGAAAGGGTGTCGATCGGTAGAGTTCGCAACTAAAGTGGAGCCTGAGCAATCATTATTTATTTGATGGTTTGAACATGTTTGAAAGACTCAATAGGTACATATGTAGAAACTTAATTGGCCTCTATTGCAGTACCCTTAGTTTGCTGCAATGGGACTCCAAATTCAATGGACTCGAACCAACAGTGTTTATTTGCCATTCAGCAAATGGGAGGCAGCTAGCGATCATTCAAGTGGCTGTGGTCTTTCTGAAACATGGTGACTTGGAGTAAACTGTCCTCCCTAAACATACAAAGAACGAATCCTCCTAGATTCTGGTTGAAACACGCTAATTACACCTCTCAAGCTCCCGTTCCCAACCAGCTAAGAGTTCAGTGACACATCTCCATGTGCCCAACCTTACTACATGTAAACGGCCGGACGAACATGTGCCGAAAGACTGGCCGGTGGAGTTGTTATCATAAACCGACTTCTATCCACTCTATCGAATCTCCAAAATCAACGCTGGATTCTGCCCAGAGCATCTGGAATCTTGGGTATAAAAAAGACAGCGCATGACATGCTGTAATATATATTATATATAAACAGAATATCTATATGCGTATGATTGTGTATGTGATATGTATAATGTATCCAGAGTCACCCTGGTCTGCTCGCCACCCTCACTCTCTGTCCCTCTCCGATGCCAGCCCTGCGATATTCGCCCAGGGGCTGATGGAGAACTGTAAGGTGCTGACCTGAGCAAGTAGGGATGGAGTCAAAGCACATCAATGAAGATTAATGACATCGTAACTTTTTGGGCGGGATCTCTAACCCGAGGCAGCCAGCCTTCCAGCCTCAACAATGTATAAGGTGGTTTGGTGATTCGGATGTACGTACTTCAGCTAGAAGATGCCACAAAGTGTCTCGGTATGAAGAACGTTGGGAGACACTCCAAGATCAACGTGCAAGTCAAATGGATCTAACCTCATTTGGTCCAGGTGTCCCGCATTCTGTGGCACACCCATTGAATCAAAGCGGGATTTTGTGGAATCCAGGTTCAACAACATAATCAAACATGTATATACAATTGTGCTGATGGAGATTTGGAGGAATTCCTGCTCAAAGTGAAGAGCGGCGAACTGCACCATAGCGCCCCGAGGCTATGGTTGACCGCGCAAGTGAACAATAACAAAGTACCAGGGAGGTCAACCTACCCTAAGTTGGAGGTTTTTGCTGGATTCCAGTGGACTGGTGATGCCTCAGACTATGACTATAACGAATGGTTCCCCTGTCAATCATGACTGACTGCTTCCAATGTCTAAGCGACAGTCCGTTCTATCCACATGTCTAAGATACATTTGTAGATCATCGCAGTCGGCAAACCTAGCAGCTAGCAAAACATTGCTCGACCTCAATGCACTTTTTTAAAACAAGCAATTGTACCACTTCCACATGACCATGCTTGCTTTGCTGCATTCTTGTCGGCTCCAGCCTGAAGCAACACCCGCACAACTTACAAGCGGCCACTCTGAGCTGCAACAATCAAGGCGGTTACCCCACCTTGGCTTGCCGCATTCTGGTCAGCTCCAGCCTCGAGCAACAACCGCACCACTTCCGAGTTGCCAGTCATAGCTGCAGCAATCAAGGCGGTTGCCCCACTTTGGATCGCCGCACTGTGGTCAGCTCCGCCTTCGAGCAACAATCGTACCACTTCCAAATGACCCCCTTCTGCTGCAAGATACATTGGTGGAGGGCGTCTGCACCTGTCCCATTGGGATTCAGTGGCTTCTGAAGCAAATTTTTGACTTCTACAACCCGATTGTGGCCTGCCAATTGGCCTCCTCATCTCTACAAAAGTCCAAGACTGCAAACTTGGTAGTTGCCTGACAGGCATATCATCTTCTAGCTCACCCATCTCTTCACTCAAGAGTCGTAGTCAAAATCTTGAGTATCCCATTTCTCTGGCGAGGAGCATCTTCAAATCCTTAATAAATGTTGCACTCCCCACCATGCAACCCAATTCCTCCTCATGAAGCTCGGTGAGAACAGCACCTGCAAGCGTTATAATGTCCATTGCTCCAGCCTGCGGAGGAAATGGCTCTTGAACCAAAATCACTACGGCCGTGGAATGAAGCAAAATCATGCAACATCTATGCGGGTGAACCGACATGATTGTCGCCCGCAAGGCCCGTGTCAAAAACCAATCGTTTTTGGTATACCCGGTACTTTGAATGAACCGCCTTTCGGGTACCTGTCATGACTGGGATTCTTGAGGTTGACCGCAGGGGTTAACCCTTTAAAGAGCATTTGTTTAATTGAGTCACCAGGAATCTCTGTTCCAGCTCCAGCTTTCAAAAGCGCAATCAACTCAGTAAGATTCAGTATCACCCTGGCTCGTCCCTTGCCGAGCATCCCAACGACATGGGCGCGCTCTCGGGCATCGGGGGAGGGAAGTCGGCCGGCCTTGGCCGTGGCGCTTGGAGACATTAATGTCTCTTGGTCATGTCTTTTGTCTCTTGTACACAAACCAACATGTAATTATTGGCCTTTCTGCCTGGAGGCTGGTGAAAGGAATAGAAATTTGGCCGTCTGGCCATTGGGTGTACTATGACGTCGTTAAAACAGGAAATCTGAGATGCGAAAGTGAAATCACCGCCAGCAGCTATGAAGACATCAATTGCACAGCACACAGGGATGCACAGGGTGAGAATGTCACCTGTGGCGAGAGCAGCATTCCGCATCTCGCTGACGTGAGACAAAGAAAAAAACGGTGGAGAGAAAACATTGCGGTAAATGAGTCGCAAGAGTTCGCAAAGGCCCATGCTCTTGAGGGATGGATGAGTCAGCTCGGTGTCCTTCAGTAGAACGCCACGAAGCTGGACGACTCCAAATCGGAGTCTTGCCAAGAAAAGCGCGGATGCTGGTTCAGAACATGAAACGACACCATGCAAGTGATAAATATTTCTTGGCGGTAAGACAAACAAATCCAGCATCATAATTCCGACTACTAATTAAACACGTGGAAAGGACATTCGACCTGGAGTCGTTTGTTGGCACTGCAAGGGAGTCATTTCTACCCCCCGAAGCACACACCTGGTGAAGCAACGATAGTGGGCCAATGATCACCACCACCTGGGATTGCTAGATGCTCGACCAAAGCCCTGGAGGGTAAATCTGAACAGGACGTGAAACGTCCATGACGAAGCGGCCGGGCCCAACACAATCTCTGACTCTCCGAACCAATTTTGGGCATGCGGTGGTTTTGGGGTGCCAAAATGTTTGGAGGGGTTTCAAAGTGGAACCCAGAATCATCAACTATCGATTGTTTTTTTTGTAGTTGTTTGTTTCAATGTGGAAACCCGATGACTCAAACGCCCCCTCCGCTCCCCAAGTGACGTCTCCAACTTGACACACATTCTCAACACAGGTGCCTATGGGTGCCTTAAGGACCCTAGAAAAGAAACCTGTGGACTCTGGTGAAAGGAACCATATGGAACCATATGGAAAATGTTGGACTGAAACTATTGCGCATTATTACGCCATATTGCATCAGGGAGGCCTCTCATTCTTCAAATACATATCATCCCAGTATCCATATCGATCCATTCCTGTTTCTCAACTTTCCATCCGTCACTGATTTATTCACTTGGATTCCGCACGCTTCTGGCTCCTCAAGCATGGGCGGCGCTGATAGCGCAGTCTGGCGGAAAGCGTCGGCACAGCAAGCGAGGTGCCACAGTGGAAACAGTCAACTTCGGCTGGTGCAACTGATAGTTTCAATTCTGTTAGGTTTCAGAGTTTATCCTCGACACACATCTCAAAACAAACGCTGTTTACGTAACGCGACGGACATTTCAAACAAGTAAGACCTATGCAAAAGTTCAGCAGTTTGAGCAACTCTTATCCTGCCTGTGCAAGAAAAATGCAAAACATCTGAAACATATTCTTAGAAGAACAACACCATGCATAATTAGACTTTGCGACTTCAGAGTATGAACAGTGTCCGATAGTTCCATAGTGAACAACATCCTCACTCTGAAAGGTCTGACATGGTTGCTGGAGTTGTAGTTGGTTCCATGGGGACCAACCGTCCCACCACAGTGATTCTTGGATGTCGCCACTTACAAAATAGGTAGCCGCGTTCACAGCTTTCCCTGGTGGGAACAGCTCTCCCCACCTCCTCTTCGCTGAGAACATCCACCGGAGCTGCGACTGACCTGGTGTGGCGAGTGTGGAGGCGACTCGAAGTCTGATAACGGTGAGATGACCACACCAGTAAGGTTCACTGAAATTCTAGTCTATGTGGTTGCTTTTGCGGGAGTTGACTTCTTGCACTGAATTCCCTCAATCTACATTGGCAAATCCATTCTTCCTAGAGTAGAGTGGATAGGGACACGGTTCTGTAAATTGTGGTCGGCTCAGTAGAAGCTTTAGGAATGCCAAAGCTCTATCAAGCTCCTAGTTGAGGTGCGCCTCTACAACGTCAACTGATTTCGGTTCTCTCAAAGCCCCCGGCGTCGGTGATGGCACATCCGTCGGAACCTCGGGTGTGCCAAAGCAAATTGGCGGTCCCGGAGAATTGGGAACAAAAAAGGCTAAAACTAACATACCAAGCAAACCCAAACCTAACCCAAGCAGTAATCCGCCGACCCCGGTTGAAGCAAGGGGGAGCGCGCAAGGGAGTACCGTTCTTTGGGGGCCAGACACGCTCTCTTTTGTTTTATAGGGATTCAGAGGCAGCGTTTGGCACCAAAAGTCCGAGGAAGAGGCTCGTTTGGGGCCAGAACTAGATGGGGAGAAGCCGTGGCGACAGAGACCGAGACGGAGACAGAGACAGACGGGAGAGAGAGAGAGAGAGAGAGAGAGCGAGCGAGCGAGCGAGAGAGAGAGAGAGACAGGACCCACCAGCCCTACACAGACCCAAGTGGGCCGGCGCCCGGCTGTTAGGCGTAAGCAGCCGGTGGCATGCCCGGAGGGCCTTCGGTGGTAACCGAAGGTTATATACGGGCGCGCCCCCTGCCGCCGACCCTCGTCATGAAAACGGGCGGACCCCCTCGTCACTTCCTACCCACCTCGGGGTCACTGAAGTCCCTGTAATTTACGGTGTTTCGTGTGTGTGAGGTACACGAAACACTGTGTTTTACAGGGTTTTGGGCCCCTCGGCGATGTTTAAAAAACGTAGCGGGAAGGAAAAATCGTAAAACGTTGTATCGGAAGATTTATTCAACATAAATTGCCTAACATATCCCCAACATAGGCCCAAGATAGCCAACATATCCCCAACATATGCCCAACATAGCCTCCAAGATGGTTCAACATAGGGCCAACATAGGCCAACATGGGGCCAACATACGCCAACATAGGCCCAACATAGGCCAACATAGGCCCAACCTAGGCCAACATAGGCCCAACATAGGCTCAACATGGGCCCAAGATGTGCCCAACATAGACCACATGGGCACAACTTGGCCCAACCTAGGGCCAAGATGCGCACCAGATAGCTTAACTTTGCTCAATATAGGCCCCACCAAGGCCAACATAGGCGTGGACCCTCGTCATGAAAACGGGGGGACCTCCGAGTCACTGAGCCCCTGTAATTTACGGTTGTGAGTTGGGGAGAGGGTAGGGAATATGGTTTCAAAATGAATTTTTAATGATTTATTCATAAACAATTCATAACATATTCATTAAAAAAATCAAATCATAACGACATCATAAAATTTTCATAAAATTTATGTTTTTTTTACGATTCTCGACAAATCGTAAAGAATCATAAAACATATGAAATTTTTATGAAAATATGATTTTTTTTGAATTTCTGATTTGGTGGAAATCGATAAAAAAAAATCATTTAAAAAAAACATCATAAGATCATTCACAAAAAACATAAAAATCATTGAAAAAATCACAAAAATATCATTAACAAAATCAAAAAAACTCCAAAAATTGAGGACCAATTAGTTTTCATAAAATTTTCTTTAAAAAACATGAAAATAAAGAACCAACTAAACAAGCCTCTGGCTGTCTTCCTGACTCTCAAATTTACGTGTTTCGTGCGTGTGAGGTATAAAAAACACTGTGTTTTACAGGGTTTTGGGCCCCTTGGCGGCCGAGAATTTCATCTTGGCGATCTTAAAAAAACGCAGGTTTTTCCATGGTTTTTGCTTTGCGGGAAGGAAAAATTCGTAAAAAGTTGTATCGGAAGATTTTTTCAACATAAATCGCCTAACATATCCCCAACACAGGCCCAAGATAGCCAACATATCCCCAACATAGCCTCCAAGATAGCCAACATAGGCCAACATGGGGCCAACATGGGGCCAACATAGGCCCAACATAGGCCCAACCTAGGCCAACATAGGCCTAACATAGGCCAACCAACATAGGCTCAACATGGGCCCAAGATATGCCCAACATAGACCACATGGGCACAACTTGGCCCAACCTAGGGCCAAGATGCGCACCAGATAGCTTAACTTTGCTCAATATAGGCCCCACCAAGGCCAACATAGGCGTGACATACGCCCCACAGACCCAAGTGGGCCGGCCTTTTGTTCAACCCCTGCCCGACCCCCGCCCGAATCCGGTCGACAGATTGCAAAAATGCTGTGTTTTTCAAGGGTGGTGTCGGCTTTGCGTGCCGCGCGGACAGGCTTACTCGACATTTCGTGGGTGTTGGGCACGCGCCAACAGCAAAGGCGGAACATGTGCTCCAAGATGATCTGACAGAGGCCCTCAAGAGGACCCAACATAGGTCCCAGATATGGCACACATAGCCGCAAGATGACCTTACCTAGCTCCCAGATATGGGAAACATAGCCCCAAGATGGGCCAAGATTGCCTCAAGATGTGGCAACTTAGGCCCCACACAGTCTCAAAAAGAGAGAGAGAGAGAGAAAGAGAGAGAGAGAGAGAGAGACAGAGACAGAGACAGAGAAGACAAGACAGAGAAGACAGAGACAGAGAAGACAGAGACCGAGATGGAGACAGAGACAAACAGAGAGAGGAGAGGGAGAGAGAGAGAGAGAGAGAGAGACACCCAGCCCTACACAGACCCAAGTGGGCCGGCGCCCGGTTGTCAGGCGTAAGCCTCATAAATAACATTCTCATGACTCATGACCATCTAGAGTATGAGGACACATGGCAAATAAATGCACATAATATGACGTAGTCACACACCACACACCTCTTCTTTTGGGCGGTTGAATGATCTGTCATCAGCAGCAGTTGCCAGTCGCTGGTGGGCTTCCGGACAGCCACATCATCAGGTGATGGAATCTGCAGGGCGCTGTCAGGCCTTGGTGCAGGATGCACATGCAAGACATGGATCAAAACCTGGAATACTCATCATGTACACTCTGATTGTGTTTATTCAATGGGGTGGTTTAAAAGAATTCCAATGGATGAATGGTATGAACCTTTGCAAACATATATAGTAGCAGTTATCTTTTACAGACTGTCGCGGTGATGAGGGAATCTGGAAACACCCAAAGAACAATAGTGAAATTATTTTGGTTTGGGGTGTCAAGATTCTGACGTACACCGCCTATGATGAATCACTGAGAGGCACTTCGCTGCGGGATGGAGGCACCGGACGCCAACATCGCACTCTCCATCAAGGGTGGGGCCTCCTCATCATGGCGGAAGCCGTTGGTCGGACCGGTCTTCGTTTATTCCAACATTGGGTGCGGAGTGCCGTGATATGTGGCACCTTCAGTTGTACGTGGTACAACAAATTGTTCATTCATGAACCAAACGTGTTTCATCATTTCGTTTAGATGTGTTGAAAGGCAATATTGCTCACTTCTTGGGACCTGCTGGTCGCTATTGACCCACCCAGCATACATTCGCCAAACTTTGCCAAATACCTGGCAACCATCTCTACATAGTGCCCCCCAGAAAACACTTCAAATCAATTTTGTGGGGAATATGGTGATCATCAAGATCCTTTCCAGCATATAGGGAAATGTGGGTCCTTGCAAAAATGTCACACAATATGCAACCCTCCTCATCTTAAGGTGGTTGGTGCCCATGTTCAATGCAGAAACTTTGAGTTTGTCCTGTCAACCAAAAGTGATGTGATCAAAATAAGTGCTTTGCCGCACAGAAAAAAAAACATAGGAAAGCTTCCAACATAAGTGATGATTGAAACAATCATCTGCGAATGGTGGTGCTTAGTTTCCTTCGAGAAACCAGACCATGGAAGGTTGACCTCCCTCCTAGTCTAATTGTTGATCTCTTTCAGAATGCTGGACGGTGGGCGGTTTGTGCATGAATAAAGTTGGTGGGGCTGGTTTTGACCCGCAGCCATATAACGTCCAATCACTGCAGGGATTTGCAGCCCTCCAGGCTCACCGGGCGCGAAAGCGCCACCGCCCGGTCCTCATCATCAACTATCAGAGTTGGCCTTGGGAAAAGTTTGCACTTTTCCAAAGCCGGTCACGTGCAGTGACAGGTTGGGGAATCCTGGTTGGCAGGTCTTTCTCTCTCGACTCTTCCAACACACTGCACGAACTGCGCGAGTTCTATCCTCACCCCCTCAAACCTCTTGAAATCAGCGGGTAGAAAAAAACAATGTAGGATCCAATTGATGATTCAAAACCCAAGAAGAAAAGGCTCGCGAAGGGTATCATACCCCACAAATTCTGAATTTTCATAGTAAGCAAAGCAGCTAGTTCAAACACAAGAACTCGCATTAGATTCACTAGATCCATTTCCCCTTCTCTACTGAGAGTCTCATAAATATCATCATTTGCTTGGCTGCTGAGCCCTCACACAGCTTCAGATTGGATTTTCGTCAGGGCGGTCCTCTCTATCCATAAGAACCAAACAGGGTTTCCTGAACGACCTAGTCGCTTGCGGTCCCTTAGATGCTTGTGATACTTTCAACAATACCAATACCCAAGCTAGTGAGCTTTGCTCACCCCTGCATGTTCTCCTTTCAAACAACATACTCCAATATTTACTCCACAAAGGTACTTGCAATATACAAATATCAAACCTCACCAAACCTTCTCCCCCACATGAATTGTCCATCATCATACATCTCCCCAAAAAAAGACGTCGACATCTCTGCCAAACGTTCCACTGGGCACACCAAACACTCCCAGCGAGGACATCGTGGCAGTCAAGGTGTTGGTCGGCACCAAAGTGGGCACTGGCACCTAATGGGGAACACATTGGGAGAGCTGGCAAGCCTTCGTTGAGACCTTGGACGTAAACATGTTGTGTTGTTAAATGTAAGTAAGGGATTTGTTCCAATAACTAACCATGCAGTTGAATACTTATTCCAAGGCAAACGTATTTGAGACTGCCTTCAACAAATTCAACCGAACTATTCAATAAGACTTTTTTGTTCATCATGCTCGACCTGCTGGCGGACTTCGTGCGGAGGCGATGAGAAATGACCCCCGTTCTCAGCATGACCTCGTCATGGCGTTCAGTGCTGCTCCAAGGATCCCCCAGATCATTTGGTTCTCCTCAACAGGGCCATGTTGGGACGAGTTGGGCGTCCTGTTTCCCATCGTCAAAACTGTTTGGGGGAACTTTGGGGAATAGTGACAGTCAACTCCGAGTAACTCCCAAATGCAGTAGTTAAGCTATGTTAGGGGGGGTAGCGCTGCGAGTGTCCCAACCTGTCACGGGTTAAGGACACGCAAAGCCACTCGCTAGGCAGAGTCCTCAGGGAGAGTACAAGCTGCCTGCAGGGTTCTACGCCGTAACAGTTAAGCTATGTTAAGCTGAGGAATTGGTCTTCTCATGAGATTCTTGCTCCTGAGGGCCAATGGAATTCACCAAACAACTCGCCATGGATGTGTTGGAAAGGCGAGACCCTTGGGCCATGAAGATTAAGATCATACGAACTGCTCTTGCAACGAAGATTCACTTACAAATACTTATAGTACAAAATGATTAACGTCACATGATCCGCAGTTGAGCATGTCTGGTCCACTAACTCCTTCGGTTTGGGCTGGTCCAACCAACTCCAGTAGCCGCGACCAGCGGTTCGCGTGGCACCCGAGCCCGGCGATCGCCCGATCCACCGCGGGAGCCCGCACGGCACTCTCGGAGCCCGCGGCGCTACTCACTTCCGGGACCTCGGGTCGTGCGGGCGACTCCTGGACGTTGTACATTGGGGGGGTTGGTAAGTTGGGGGTACATGCCGTGAGTGGCCAGCCTGGTAAGCAATTGCGTAATCCGCCTGGAGTGCTGAATGTTACAAGACCGGTTACAGGTTGGGAGTTTCGGACTGCTGCTGCCCAGAAATCCAATCAAATGCCCAAGAAGGGGAACAAATCGACCGGATGGAGCGATCTCTGCGAGCAGCCTCCCAAATTCCTCCTTCAGTTCAGAGCCTGAACACGGCAAGGTTCTCTATCAGAAAGCCCTTACACAGGTTCATGCATGTGGCAGAGTAACATCTGTTCGCTGCCACCGCCACCTCCAACACCGTGTACTGTGTGACAATCGACCAAGGCTTTGACAGGCAACAACTCTTCCTCCTCCTGGAAAGGTGAGGAGATGTCTTGCAGGAGAACCCCATGCAAACAAGCAAATTATATCCAAGCAGGGATTGCCCTCACCATCCAATCCAGTCACTCTTGAATATTCTTGAATGGTATCCGATATCCACAAAAATGCAGAATAGTCCACATTGCCGGTGCATATATCTAAACATGTCCAGGTTCAGGTTACCTCACCCCAATCCACCCCAACTCGTCCCAACGGCCAAGTACTTTCAACTGTAGCTGTGGGATTCACGCAAGGCAAATCCCTTTTGTCCGCTCATATAGACGGTCGCTGTCTCCGACATATCTCCCTAAATTGGAAGCATTGCCAGTTGCCAGATGTATCTGCAAGACAGGTCATATATGCGATGTCATTGATGCGTCTCTTTAAACGCTTCAAAGCTGCGGACATTGGCTTAACCATAGAGGTTCAGGTCCGACACCAGGTAGGTCTTCTTTGAAAGGTCAAAAATATCCTGCAAGACCTTGAAAACCCTGCGCCTGGCGCCTGTGTCCCAAATTGAAATGGGCCAAAGAATACTTTTCAAACCCAAACCAAAGCCGGACTGTGCCCGCTGGCCTCAGCTTCGCGAAACACGCCCAAATTGCCTGCCCCCTCGCTGTCCTCATCCGCCGGTGAGGTTGGTTCTGGCTCCTCGGTTGGCACTGGCCTTGGAGAACTGGAGCTTCAAATTCGAAGCCTGAAAAATCCTGAAAACCAATACACGCAGGGATTGCGGGTCCAACATCCGTCTGAGTCGCTGCAACAAAAAAAGAAATGCTCAACAGTGGCAAAGTCACAGTTGATCCACCAGCTGGCGTTGTTCCATTCTTTCGGATCCTGAATGCTTGAACACTGCATGCACCTTCAGTGCCCTTACATGTACCCTGCCACCATAAGAACGTGGGAGGGTCTCTATCCTGTTTCCACATCTATGCCATTCACGATCTGTCCCGCTTCTTCCAAATTCCAGCATTTTCGAGTGCTAGAATCACTGGTCCTTCCTATACACGGGAACTCCACCAAACAGATGTCTTGACCTGAATTTGAAAGCCTTTCTATTTCAACCTACAATTTATCTCTGACTCTTAGCTTTTGACCAGCTATTTGTTCGATAGTCAAGTGGCATAGGACGGTCCATTTATGTAAACGCTCCTGGGGCTACTGCGGATAAAATACCCAATCTACCTGTATATATACCACCAAACAGTCATAGGGAGTTGCCCCGAGCTGCCACTTCCCATGAGCCACACCATTTTCCCAGATCTTCCCAGATCTTCAGCTGCCCAATCGAACATCGTGCTTTGTCCACTCCACTCCTTCACCACGGGGCATCTCAGAAGGGCTATCGACCGCCGTCGAGCTGACCGCCCTAAGTGCCGTGCCCACGACGAAGGATGGGCCGTCCCGACACGGAATGGGCGGCTTGGGTGTGGAACGACCAACGCGAATGACGGAGAACTGAGAAACATATGGAAACATTGGCTTTGACAAATACGGAAAAAATAAATTTGATTGGTGGTTTCACCCCAACTGACAAGTGTTATGAATTGTTCATTGGGCAAAATTGGGCTTAATCATCCCAGGCAAAGATTCAAGGTTGAACATCAGATATGTAACATGTAGTTTAAACTATATTGAAACCATCACCCCAAAATACTGGTTGGTGGATTCAACTCATGAAAGATATCAGTCAGTGGGTTCCATCATCCCAAGTAAAGGTTGAAAAACGAACATAATTTTTCAAAATGCTCTTTGGATGAATAGAAAAACAACAACTTTTAATATAAACACAAACATCGTTCCCACAAAAAAAATAAGGTTGAACATAAACATAAAGGTTCCACCTAGAAACAAAACGCTCTTTGGACATCTGCCAGGCCTTTAGAGACTGACCTTCTGTTCATCTCCAGTCCGCTGTTGGCCCGCTGGTGGCTGCGAAACGACACGGCCGTCGGACTGGGTGTGTATTAGAACGGGGAAAACCCCGTAAGACCTCTGGTGAAGCCCACAAAACAAAAACACATGATAGATCGAACAATAAGTTTATACTCAACAAATTCCAAACTGCACAACCATGTGCAACAAATTAGTTTGAACTCAGTGGTATACACATCTAAATTCTTCTACAAACACTAGTTCTTACTAACTTGAAAGATTTTGAACAGTTGCCGCGGTCGGTGCTGGAGAGGAACTCCACTTACACTTGCACCCTCGAAGAAAACACTCATGATGTGTGAAAACATGATATACAAGCATAACATGTAATAAAGAATGGGCACAACTGGCTTGTTTTGAAGATGAGACAAGGCAAACTTAAGGTGGATAACCTCGGAGGATATTAGTGATGTAATCACTCACAGGAAGACGTTGATATTTTTACCGATAGCACTGCAAGACCCTGCCAAGGACCCCAGCATGGCGCTCGAAAATTGAGGGATTGGAGTCTCCTGGCGGAATCGTTGGGGGGATGGTTCTTACATGGATATATGACATTATGATATATGGGTATGGATCCTTGATATGGGGCCCATCTCCAAGTGTTTGTTTAATGTGTTTCTGGGTTGTAGTCTTTCCTGTTACCCTGTTTGTCGGTCCTCGTGTTGGCTTTCTGAAAGTCTAGTGAGTCAGGACCCCAACAGCCATCCCCGTTCAAGAAACCTTGACAATTGAATAAGCCAGAAAGAAACCCTAGGTACTACCCTAGGTGCTTATCTCATTCTTGGCTCCTCATTGCCATTGTAAAGCAACGAAGAAGAAAGTCCAGAACGTCTGAGCTGAAGGCGGTCTGGGCTCCTTCGTACCCTTTCAACATGCCCATGATGTCAACATGGGATTAACCAACCCCCCCAGTTAATCAAGCCCAGCTGAAGCCTCCAATAATAAACTAATTTGATCTCTGCAAACCTCCCCCTAATAATCACTTCCACCCCCCCTATTAATCAAGCCCAGCTCCCCCAGACAAAAATATAGTTGGTTCTATATTTATTTTATGTATCTTTACTTTTTTAGTAGTCAATATCTTTTGGTCCATGGTGAAACTGATCTTCCAATCCACTCTTGTCTCATGCCATCTCTTTGAGATATAGCATTCTGATCCACCTTTTTCCCATGCTCATCCTGTCATCCATCAATCATTTCTGATCATTTTGCTTGCTCTTCTCCTCCTTCCCAGCAGCAATCTGTGCAGCCAACCATCCCCCAAAACCCCAAAAACTCTCTAGCAAAATTCTTTCATGTTCCCTTATGAAAACTCTATCAAAATCTTAAGGTTTTCAAGCTCACAAAGGGTACCCCTCACACAGGCCCTACCACCCCCTAATAGTAGGGGCCCCTCCCCCTGTTGGTCAAGCCCACCCTCTGGCCTTTCATCTCAATTCTTCCAAATACTAATTCCCTTTCATCCCAACTCTTCCAAATACTAATTCCCTTTCATCTCAGTTCCTAATACTCATTCCCTTTCATCCCAACTCTTCGAAATACTAATTCCCTTTCATCTCAATTCTTCCAAATACTAATTCCCTTTCATCCCATACACTCAGACCCTTCATGGTTCTCATGGTTCAAACTCTCATGATTCACACACCATCCCATCAACCATCATCCATCATCAGGTCCAGGTCCTCATCTCATCATCCATCATCAGGTCATCATCTTTATTTGGGTGATGTAGTGATGTGGTCTGTACTTTGACCTTGTTAACCTTGTTGACCTTGAAGGGGGGGGTTGATTAATCCTATGTCGACATTACCAAGACTGGCAACATTGGACAGCAACCGGTCACATGGCCAATAGCGCTCTTGCCATTTCTGTCAGCTGACAGCCTTGGAAGAGATGTTTTGGGGTGCAAGACAACGGATGAAAACCCTCTGGCGACGTCGTCTCCCCTGCCGTCAACAGGGAAGCTACTACGCCTCACCGGTCCCCGGTGCCGGGCTCCGGTCCTTGGGCACTTCGGTGCCGGGCCTTGGGCGAACGACAATCGAGGCTTCATGGGATGGGTGTCCGATTGACAGCGTTGCTGGACATGAACGTCATATTCAAGGGATGCTCAAAACAGTAGCTCTCTAGCAATTGAACATAATTGAACACGAAACCTCCGCATGTGCACTTGCTGAGGATTTCAGGCAACTGCGAACCAGGATAGTGACCAGGATGCACAGCATCCCAAAACACCTTGATGTTCCTGGATACATTTGTTCTGGTTTAAGTCTGTGTTATATTCATCAAGCTGTTGGAGCAACCACGGAAGACATGCTAACCATCAATAACCTATTATCACAGGAACCCCAAACATCTACGTTAGATCGGTCTCAAGGGGTGTCACATTAGACTGAGTCAAATCTAACCTCATCCCCTGGTGCTCAGAATCTCCGAACCACGTGCAAAACGGTCCGGCCTCAAACGGTCCGGGTGTGGTGATGTTGACTTCGAGTCCTTACGGTGCCTGATGAGCTCTTCAACATGTTTCATCCAGCTCCAGCCGAGGGGTGACCATTTAGATCCTCCATGACTGGACCATGGACACCCTCATCCTAGCCTCCACTAACCAACCTTTTGAATACCTTTTGAATACCCTCGACCGGGCTGCCAGGCACGCGTCTCGTCGCAGTGGGCGTGGCTGTTGCCCGTGTGTCCATGGTCAGGGCCGTCGCCGTGGGAATGGTGGCTGTGGGCTGGCAAAGCGAGCTCAGCTTGGCAAGAAAATCTCCAGCACTTAGAGATTCATGCAACCTCCAACTACTACAGGCTGAAAAGTATTTGGTCAACACCTGGCTTGATTAGGCTTCATTTTCACGTGTCCAAGTGATATGCACGTGACATTTCTCCAAGCAATGTCTTTTGTGCATTGGTTGAACCCTGAGTCATGCGTGGTCCCACCGCTGTAGGTCAGGTCGTGGTGCTGATGCGACAAACAACCAACGCATCGGTACAAATAACGACCAGCGCATGTCTGTTACTTGGGCTAAAGTGTGCAAGATCTTTCAGAACCAAAACACCACTACCACGGAAATATCGGTCACACTTCAGCGACGCAACATGTTGAATAATACGGATGAATTGACTATGGATCTTCTGCCGGTTCTCCCAATATGTCCCGTCTCCGTCCAAACCGAATCCCACAGTGTTAGACTTCCTGCAAAAACTCGAAAAAAGAAAACAGTTCAGTTCCTCGAAGGTCCTCGAATTTCCTCAACCTGTGGATCCTTAGACCACCCTCCTCATTTGCCGCTTTGCCCACCTCCACAGCTGGAGAAGTGGGCGAGGGCAAATCGGTGGGTACCGGCATCTCCTGAACCAGCAGTGAACCGAAGCCGAAGAGAACATGAATAGCCGAGTGCCGGAGTGTGTGTTGGGAACTCAGAATTCGGACATTGTAACTGTTCAAACTTTGATTTTGGCTTGTGATTTGCTGTTTTAAGTACGTCACTGAGCAAGTGCTGTCTCGCTCAAACTCGTGGTTCTCTGTGTCAAACTCCAGACGGAGGGTCCCAGGTGACCCGTGGGTCGTTTGGCCCCAGCGGGGTGAGCCCGAAATGCGAATGGAGAAACAACAGTCCTAATGCTACTCAAATGGTTGATGTCTGGGACCTCATGGCTTGCGCACTGTTCTTCACTGGCCAAATTGATTGAGGACCAGCTGCGGCATACCAAACAGCGCCTGCAATGTTAAATGAATCCAAGAAACAAGAACTAGTTGCAGATCCCCAGACCAATCCCATAGATCTTGATGGTCTGCACATCCTGCTCCAAAACTGCTTTTGGTGCTTGCCATCATAGTGCTTCGCGCCAAAGCCTTGACGAACTTCCATTCATCAGGGTGCAGTCGGTGCAGTCCTTTCATGGGGTGTCCTTAAGGCTGAAGCCCATTAAAAAGAAACCCAACTGTGGTACTAGCACCTTGCAAGCTTGGTTGAGCTTGGACCACCAACCGACCTGTTGCAATTAATGACACTCTGAATCAGGACTCCTTTGTCCAGTGAACGGAGTCGAAGCACAAATCAACGCACCGATTCGACGGTACAACCCAGTGGGTACGACACAGTCACCCTTTGGTCAGTTAGGCCAACGGACCTAACCATTTTCATGATTACTCAACGGAATCGCAAAACAACAGGACGCGCCTGGAACAAAGTACATCATGAAATATGCTGAGTGCAACACCATAAAAGCAATATATCAGTTCATTCAGTCTCTGTACAATCAGGGCTCCTCATACTGTATATACACATAACAATATGTACAACACTATGCTACACCACCTCCAAATGAACAAGCGCGGCTGTCTTGAGAAAACGACCCTTGTTAGTGAGCCACCTTCCATATGAGTCTCAAACTTTCAGTGCATGAGGTAGCAAAGGAGCTTTTCGTTGGGGGGGAGTGTGTAGTGTAGAGCCATTACTGTATAGTTGTTGCCACTATCATGACAAAGTCTGTGTTTTCAAGGCGAAGAAACGATCCAGCTTTGTTTTTCTGCTATAAAATCTCGATTGCTAAATTAGGTAAGCAGCATTCCAGTACTTGGAGGGAGGCTTTGGACCTTCCTTCCAACCCAGCCATTTGATCGAAGCCCAGATCGAAGCCCGCTCCGTGGGTGATGGCATAACCCCACTGCTGGTCTGGATCCTTAGCAATCCGAATCGGCAAAGAACATTTGCCGAATCGATATGTTGGCTCTGTACTGGCGATTCTGGACCAAAGATATTGGTCTCCACTCACAATTTTGGTAGCACGACCTTTGTTTCCAAAGACCTGCCAAGACTGATTTGACCCCAAGTCATAGCTATTAAACTTCTCACTGACTGAGCTTTTCCCCCAAAGGTGGCAAATGCTTACAGTGGATTCAGAGTAGATAGCATAAACCCAAAGATGTCTTTTAGATGGGGGTCCATGTAAACATCACCCTTTTGTGGATTGTGCCATCTACTCTCTATCCGCTATACTCAATCTACAGTGACAGGTTCTCTACATTGTTCACTTCTGCGGGCCACCCTCAGATCTCACTAGAACTTGGTTTCAAGCTCTTCAGGAAAGATGGCGAGACCGACTTCAGCTCTGCTGCCAGGCACGTCTACTGTACCTGTTCCTACAACCAAAGCGCAATTCCCTAATTTGAGACATACTTCGAGGCAGAAGTCATATCCCATGGAACTCCCCCAGCGACGGCCTCGAGACTGTGTAACATGGTCCTGTTTAGCAAAGAATGATCTGGTAACCCTGGAGTACTCGTACTTGGTCGTAGGAAAATTGATCCAAATGCTGGAAACTCCCTTCAAACCAGTAATCCTTTAGGTAAGGGTTCATGTTGATTGATGAATGTATCAAATTCTCCACCGGTGATCGACGGTCTTCACACCAATGTCTGTTCATCGGTGGTGCATCCACAGGATGTACTCAGCGCCCCAGCATGGCTGAAGAAGACATCCACATTGCCGAGGAGGACATGTGATCCACTTGCCTGGCAGCGCCCGGGCGAACGAAGGCGCCCTGTACGGAGGGAGGGCCAAACCCAAAATGAGACCTTGAGTATTTGGTCAACTCGGTTGATTGGTAGAGTTGTTCGGACCCTTGGAAGCCACATCCTTTTCGTCCGCAGGTGGTCATGACCAAAGCAAGTGCACTGGTGCCGCTATGTCCCTGAACTGGCGCTTGCCTGTTTTTGCACAATTCTGCGCAACCTGTGCAATCGGCAATGCAATGGCGTTTGCACGTCCACATGAAACAACTGCCACTTGCCAAAAAAAGCTCGCTTTTGGTTGTAACATGATCTCCAAAAAAGGTACAAATGCATACAGGGCCTAGCAATATGCTTTGTGCTCCATGCTTTTGATGATTTTTGAGGTATGTGGGTCCTGGGTAGGTCCTACACAATTTGATATTACTGGGCTTCTAACTACTCTGTAATTATGTGTCCTGCCATGTGACATTGTTCTGTATTTCAATGACATTCGCACGAATCCTCGCAAGTACATTCGCACGAATCCTCGCAAGTAACACCCAGGAGTCCTCCCTCTTCACCAACTGTGAAAGAAACACCACCCAATCATGTTCTCCTTACAGAGTCACCCTGTGAAACCTAACACCATGTAGCTTGACATAGCTTGACCTTCCAGCTAGGTGAACCAAGGTATCCTGGCGACCCGCCCACATCTAAAACTGGAGACATCTAAAATCGACCGCCCACATCCGTGGAGACCCGGCCTTGGTACCGGCACCTGGCGATCGCTTCGAACAGAAGGGTCGCTTTGAAAACTGACACACACACACACACACACACGGGCCAAAACACCGACCCGGAACAATAAAGTGCCCACCCCAAATGGACAAGTGTAGCATAGCGTAGCTGTGTCGGCTGGGGTGTCCCACTTTCAGGAAGATCAAAAGAACGGTCACAGAGTTTGGCAAATGTTCAAGCTGTATCAAGTTGTTCAATCAAAACAATGTAGATGATGTCGTCCTCCTTGAACAAATATGACATCTCAATAGGTGGTCTCAAAACCTCTTAAGTAGGCGGCACGGTCAAAGACTTGCAGTGCAGGGGTCATTGAAGATTCTCATGAAAACCGTCACCCATCACATGCCTGTTTACGTTGAACAAAATTCCCGCAAGCATATACTACCAATATCTGCCAATATATATATATATATTGTGTTTCACGCCTGTCGAGACAAGGTGGTTGGGGATACCCCGGCTGAGGTTCCAAACAGCGGTGGGTTCCGGAATCTGCTCAGGATCGTCCTGCCAGCAAGAGACTCGGCTGTGCTGATGGCTCGAGTTCATCTCAGCACGTCGAAACCACGACCTCCATGCGTTTCTCACCAGGTGTTGGTGACACACAAACCCGCCAAACACCAGCCAGGTACTTGATGGTTGGGCTTTGTGGGAACTCAAGTTACAGAAATGAAATCAGTTGACAAATTTGTTAGGAATTTGAAAATAGAAAAACAATTAATCAGTAAACCTCAACATGTTTAAACTCAGCTTAATTTTGGCTATATAAGTCAAAACTGCGAAATGTTTATTGTAACTTAGTCAAATCTTTGCAAGCGTTACATTTACAATTGCCATATTGTTCCAACAGCAAAGCATATATTACATAACTACAATATTCACAGCTTGTATTTTGTTGCAAAACACCTGTCATCACAAAGTTACCAAGCACGATATGCTTGTTGATTTCAATCAACACTTTCTGGCCGTCCAACAAGCTGTATTGAACCACAAGGATATTTACACAGTTGTTTGTTTGCAGGTGTTGGTTGTTCTTTGGATATGTTTGGCGGCTCAAGGAGGAGCCTTGAATGTACGCACCCTTGTTGTATATTCCTGTATATTTCTTGGGCGGCTCAAGGAGCCGCCTGACTGAAACAAAATATTCTTGACAAAATTGAGATCAACCCGTGAATGTGTATAAAATGTACTGTATAATGTACAAAGATTGAGTGGCTTTGGGCATCTCTCCACATGGATTTCGATAATAGGTATATAAGGACATGCAAGGGCATGCACAAGAATCATTCCAAAAGGATGCTCAAAAACCAACCCAAAACCAGCAGGCAAAATGCTTTTTGTCACCTTGTCCACATTTAGATTGGCACATGTTTAACTGTTTAACCAAGCCCCAAAAGCCAGATCGCCATGATGGGCCCCGTTTGCGGGTGCCTGAACACCTCGACGTCCAAAACTTCCGTTTGGACGTTTGCGTTCTTGCTGAGGATTGGTGGCTACCGCTATCAGAACCCGGAACTTGAAGGTGCCCTGTATGGAAGATTATGGAAGCACTGGAAGCCTTGCTACAAGAGCATGCTGAAATATTCTGACATTGCATCAGTGGTGTGGAAATCTATGGAATCCTGTGAACCTTCAGTAGGCTTTAACTTTAGGCTTCGTTGAAGATTGCGGGCCACACTGCAGCGATGTGCCTGGTGCGCGATGCCCTTCCAGTCACTACCCAAAACATCCCAAACCAATCATAGTGGATGATGATGGCAAGTAAAAAAAGAGAGCGGGTGGTCATGGGGCCTGGGTTTTGGTTTTCCCAAAATTTTAAGTAAATGCTTCAGTGGCAGCCCCTCTCCATATAAACACACATATAATCTATTCTTGCTCTCTCTATATGAGCAAATATATTATGTATTCCTGAATTAGGGTCATGTTATTGTTTTGGAAGCAGCAATCAGTCATTCAGATGGTTTTGAACAAGATAATTAGGAAAGAAGCAGACCATAAAAGTGTTTTTTAAAACAATTGTCCTCTAGATCTCTGCGTGTAATTATGTTTAGATTTGGAAAGATTGTATATAGACGCTTTTATGTTACAAAAAAATCTCTATAGATCTCTGCAGATAATCATTTTTAGATTTAAACAACTATATAGAAACCTTGTATGTTAAAAAGTTTCTTCTAGATTCTGCGGGCAAGAGCTTGCATTTTCAAAGCTTTCCTCTGGATCTCTAGGAAAGTAGATATCCCATATATGTGTGTGTTTCATGCCAGGAAAGCTCTTGAAAGAAATACATATTTATTGATATATAGCATGTTAAATAAAAGCTTTTGTATAGTTTTATTGTAGAAATGATCATCCCCAGAGATCTAGAGGGAAGCTCTTAAATTAGAAGCTTGCACATAAAACATTTTTACTATATCTATATTATCTTCAGTGATTACTATAAATAAATAGATCTAACTATCTACTCCAAAAAAGAGTTTTAGTCTTGTTCCCAGCACTCCCAGGGCAAAACAAATACTGTAAAACACGGGGTTTTGTAGCATGTGTTTTCTTAAACTAAATAGACTAGAGCTAGAATAGAATTAGGTAGCATGAAATTG